AGAAAGAAAGAAAGAAAGAAAGAAAGAAAGAAAGAAAGAAAGAAAGAAAGAAAGAAAGAAAGAAAATCCAAATTTATGTAAACCTTAAACTGATCTGGCATAATCTTGAATGGGCTTAAATGCTGGCTATCTAAAGCCCAACAAAAATCTTGTTTCCCAAGTTTATTAGGAAGGAACAGTAGAAGAGGAAGCAAGGTTCATTAGTGTTGAAATCACCTTCCCCAGGAGTGGGTGGAGATAGTAGTTTTACTGAGCACACAACAAGGTCAAGGGTTTCAAATGCTGAATTCTAGAAAGAACAGAAAAATTGCTTTGAGTCCCTTGGTCTGAGCTAAGCCATGGCAAGAGCGTCTGTGTGCGTATACCACTTCCTTGTTTGGGGCTGGTATATTTTCATCAACTGTTATTTCTCCTTCCAAGCAGCAGAGCAGCAATTATCACAAATGTTCCTGTATGGAGGCCAGTGGAAATACTTGACAGTGCTGAATCTGGTAAGTCTAAGTCTGTGCTGCACCAGGGACCAATCTGTCTATTTGCTTTTCTACCATCTGTGCCTCCAGACAGAAAACTTTTGTTTTCAGAAGAAGAAAAAAAAAAGCTCCATTATCTGAATCTTCCTTCTTTTCATTGCTTGAGACTTTTGCCATTCTGTTTTCCTAAACAATGTGCTGCAAGTAACTTATTTGGGGCAGTGTCTGGGGGCGTCTTGGCGAGCCAAATGTCAAGAGGTCTTCTGAAGAGACCGACCCAGAATTCTTCTCTGATAATCCCAGGGAGGCAAGTTAAACGTCAGTGATGACATCACTGATCTCACCCTTGGTGCAGAAAGGAGTTTCATTCTGTGCAGCAGGCTTTTTAGCTTTCCCAGGGTACCGAGGAAGTGGGTGACAAGGGCAATGTATGTTGTGTAGGAAGTGTAATTTTGAATGGAGGAAGCATGCCATTTTTCAGTACGCAGAGAATAGCAGATTTACCTTGGAAACAGCAAACACACTTTGCCAAATTCAGCTCCCACTTCCATTTTTATAGACTCTGTCTCCAACTGAAAGGGTAGACCTTCTGAGCAACAATAACAACAAAAATGCTTTTTTAAAGGTATGCATGTGCAAATCATTCCCATGACAGTGCTGCTTCTTTTGTCGTTTAAACTCTTCTGACCATACAGTATACAGCAGTGAACCATGAATAAATGACCAATATGCTTCATAAGTGTTCATTTTAAAACAAGAAAAGCCAAAAGATCATGGTGGAAAATAATTGGCAGATTTAGTTAAAATTTAAGCATCTTGGTGGCATAGCGGATAGAGAGCGGGGTCTAAAGTCAGTCAGTTCAAATCCACCTCAGACATATATTAGTTGTGTAATCCTAGGCAGGTTATTTAATTTCTGTCTGCCTCAGTTTACTCAGCTGAAAAATGGGGATAATAATAGCACCTATTTCACCTATTGTGGTAAGTCTTAAATGAGATGATATTTATGAAGAGCTTAGTACAGTGCCTGGCTTAACAAATGCTTGTTCTCTTCATTACAGCATGGCAAGGAATTCTGGAACACCCCACAAAGGACTTGGAACTAGGTTCACATCTATCTTAGTTTGGGGCATTGAAGCAAATTTTAGAGTCCTAGTTAATCCTGCTGCCAATTTAGAAAGGGTAGGTTTTCAGAAAGCTGTGTTTTGCCAGAGAAAATGAAGCACAAAATTTGCAAGTGGAGGGAGGTAGGAGGGCTTGAGATCCAAAGGCCCTCGAGGTGACATCCCATTCTCCCTTGCCCAACTGGTGGAGTTTGTCTTGGATGAAGAGAGTCCTTTAGATTCCTGAGGGGCTTGGCAGATTGCATTTTGAATGCAGCTGCAATGTGTTTGTAAATATCAAAGCTGCTGCTTGATTTAATCACAGAATTTGCTCAAAAAAACCACATTGTTTTTATAGAACTACAGCAACACACAGTAGAAAACTAAGCAACATGCATCTGTCATGTTGTATTTTTGAGAATGGGAAGTAGAAGATGGAGGAAGGGCTATGACTGGGGGCTAGGACTGGAGTTCAGATTTAATTGTCTTTCTAGTTTGGATGTCTCTCTATTAAGTCAAAATCTACATGTTCAAAACCAACCTTCTCATTATAGCCCCAAACTTACCCCTTTCTATTAGTTGAGCCACAATGCTCTGGTGCCCTCTTCCCCCTTCTCTTATCCAATCTGTCAGGAAAATCCTATTGTTTCTTGCAAATGTCTCTTGGCTTTATTCCTTTTTTCTTTATTCCCAGTAGCACCACCCAAGTCCATTTGGCTGGCTCCATTCCTGAGGTCCCACCCCTCATTATGTCACACCTATTGCATTAGGCTCCATACCAGTCTCTTTGTCTCCATTCCCTCCCTGTTCTAACCTAACCCACATATTGAGGCTAACCTCATCTATTATGATGCTTTGACAGCTTTACTCTTGCCATCTCCTTACTCAAGGACCTCCAGGGGCTCCCTCCTGTCTACTGGATCAAATTCAAGCTCATGTTATGCAGGTCTTCATATGGCCTCACCCTACCTGTTCAATGGAAAAATTCTAACAAGAAAATTCTTCTCTCCTCAGGGTTGTCATCTCACAGTTGCAAATACATGGCATCTTTGAATTTCTATAGTTCTTGTTATTGTGCACTACACAATCTAGCAATTGGTAACAATTTGCCATTGTCTAGTTGTTTTTTGTTCATCCCCAACAACTTAACAAAGAGTTATAAATGCAGACAAAACTGAACATCATTTATGTTCAAAGTTAGGTGCTAGGTAAAGAATAGGTCTTCATCCTCAAGGAACTGAGCAGATTGAGGCCAGCTAATGAGGTCCTTCAGCTCCCCATTTCTGTTTCCATATCTCAAAACCATTCTCTCCCATCTCCTCTAAGACCTTGCCTTAGCAGTCATCCTCTTTGTTCCACACATCCTCAATCTCTCCTTTGCTCGAGTCTTCTAACATGTTTAAGTCTTAACTCTATTTCATAGTTATCATTCCATCTCTCTTCTTTTCTTCACTCCTAAACTCCCTTTAAAAATCCTCCTCTCCTAATGCTTCTATGTCTCTACTACACACTCTATGTTCAGCCCCTTGCAATCTATTGTACACATTCACAATTCTACTGAAATTACTTTCTTTTTTTAAAAGTATTTTGTTTTTATTTTTCCCCAGTAACATGTAAAAACAATTTTTAACATTTGTTTCAAAACTTTGAATTCCAAATTCTCTCCCTTCCTCTCTCCCCAATCCACCTCATTGAGAAGGCAAACAATTCGATATGTTATTCATATGTAGTCATGTAAAACATATCCATATTAGTCATGTTGTGAAAGAAAACATAGAAGAAGAAAAAAAACCTCAAGAAAAATAAAGTAAAAAAAAAAATGTAAACTTCAATCTATATCCAGACACCATCAGTTCTTTCTCTGGGTATAGATAGCATTTTTCATCATAAGTCCTTCAGAGTTGTCTTGGATCATTGTATTGCTGAGAATATCTAAGTCATTCACAGCTGATCATCTTCCAATATTGCTGTTACTTTGTACACAGTACATTTCACTTTGCATCAGCCCATCTTTCCAGGTTTTTTTCTGAGAGCATCCTGCTCATCTTTTCTTATAGTACAATAGTATTCCATCATAATCACATACCACAACTAGTTCAGTCATTCCCCAATTGATGGGCATCTCCTCAATTTCTAATTCTTTGCCCCCAGAAATGAGTTGCTATAAATATTTTTGAGCATATAGGTACTTTTCTTTTTTTTTTTTCTTTTGGAACACAGACCTAGTAGTGGAATTGCTAGGTTAAAGGGTATGTATGGTTTTATAGCCCTTTAGGCATAGTTCCAAATTACTCTACAGAATGGTTGAATCACTTCACAATTCCACCAACAGGCATTAATATTTCATTTTTCCCACATCCCCTCCAACATTTGCTATTTACCTTTTCTGTCCTATTAGCCAATCTAATAGGTATGAGGTAGTACCTCAGAATTATTTTAATTTGCGTTTCTCTTATCAATAGTGAGTTAGAGTGTTTTTTCATATGGCTGTAGATAACTTTGATTACTTCACCTGAAAACTGTTCATATCTTTTGATCATTTATCAGTTGGGGAATGGCGCTCATTTTTAAAAATTTGCCTCTGTTCTCTATATGTTTGAGAAATGAGCTTTTATCAGAGAAACTTCCTTCAAAATTTTTGTCATAGTTACTATTACTAACTGTATTTCCCTCCATCCTATTCCCCCCACCCTCTTTTATTCTATTCTCACTCTTCTTTCACCCTGTCCCTCCTCAAAAATGTTTTGCTTCTGACTACCCCCTCCCCCAATCCGCCCTCCCTCAAAATTACTCTTTCATAGTCTGTGTTGATAAAATACCAACATCTCCAAATACAAATGACATCCTAATCACCAATTCCACAATCTTTTTTTTTTTACAGCTTTCATCTTCTGCCTTTCTATAGAGCTTGAGTTTAACACCATTGAAAACCATCAGAAGATATTTTATTTTTGTCTCTGATTCAGACACCTACAACCCTCACCACTCCTTTATTTCCTTTTCTGGCTTCTCATTCCTTATCCAAACTCTTGTTCTGTTTGTTTGTTTTTTTGTTTGTTTTTGAGACAACCAGGGTTAAGTGACTTGCCCAGGGTCACATAGCTAGTAAGTGTCTAAGGCTGGATTTAAACTCAGGTCCTCCTATATCCAGGGCTAGTGCTCTATCCACTGCACCACCTAGCTGCCTCTAAACAAATTCTTAATGTATGTGTCCCCAAAAAGATTATCCGTGTCCCTCTTCTGTCTTCTACCTAAACTCCTTCCCTAGATGATCATAAGATAATAGCTTTAAGAGTTGGTATGGTCATTTGTTGTTGTTCAGTAGTTCAATCGTGTCTGACTCTTTGTGACTTCATGGGTTTATCCATGGGGTTTTCTTAGCAAAGATACTGGAGTGTTTTGTCATTTCCTTCTCTAGCGTGTCCCAATTTTACAGATAAGGAATTGAGGCAAATAAGGGTTAAGTGATTTGCCCAGGGTCACACAGCTAGAAAGTGTCTGAGGCTGGACTTGAACTCACATCTTTCTGACTCCAGGCTCAGTGCTCTATCTACTGCACTGCCCATTAGATATCATCTAATTCTTCCTTCTTCTGCTGGCCCAGCATGTCCCTTGAGAGAAGATGAGAAGGGGTGAGAGAAGGTGTCTTGCATGTGCCCCAAAGGACTTCTCCCTGTGCTGAGTCTACCACTTCCTGCTGCCACCTGCTTAAGTGAGAAGAGGAGCCCAGCATTTCTCTGACCACTGGTATCTTCCATCTGCCCCAAAACAATGGCTTCATATGTGACAGCAGACATATGTGACAGCTTCCAAATTCTGCTGCCAGTCCATTCTCCTAACTGGGATATGGAGAACCCCAGGGCAAAGAAAAACAACCTACCCTTCAAGCTGTCAATCTCCTGCTTTCTCTGTCCTTAA